TTCAAAATACTGCTCATGTAATTCAATATATAGTAAATCTATAGATCGCTAGTAAATTTCCTTACGTGGTATTATGGAAGTGCACAACTTCACTTCTAACAGCTATATGTCCTGAAAACACTGTTCTAGCTTTAAAAAACTGAAACTAAAAATATTTATGTAATTATAAATTACATAAATTTATTATTTATAGGCTACCTATAAATTCATCAGGGGAGGGCAGCAAGGAATAGCAGACTGTCTATTTACTAGGGCATCCCCTGGAGTAACTAGGAACAATGGCCACAAATTGATGGAGAGCAGATTTAGGTTGGACATTAGAAAGAACTTCTTCAGAGTAAGGGTTGCCAGAATTTGGAATGGGCTTCCAAGGGAGGTGGTGCTCTCCCCTACCATGGGGGTGATCAAGAGGAGACTGGACAAGCACCTAGCTGGGGTCATCTTTCCTGCCCAGGGCAGGGAATCAGACTCGGTAACCTACTGGGGTCCCTTCCAACCCTAACATCTATGAATCTATAATTTGAAAAAAATGCACAGTATTTACTCAAATCCAAGATGAAGTCGCCCCTTCCCCCCACCATTCAACATGGAGGAAAACCAGCCTTTGATTCGAATATCAGTGCTGGGGGCCTCTGGAGGTGCTGTCACGTGGCTGTCTGGAGTTGGCAGTCATGGAGTCAGTGGGAGCTACTGTGAGCCTGGGTCAGGGGCCAGCAGCTATGGTTAGGCATTGGGCAGCAGACTGGAGATGGCACAGCAGCACCCAGGGATTGGCCAGGGAATGAGGCATCAGTGCATTGGAGGTCAGGTGGGAATGGGGCAGCAGAGTGTGCCAGATTGGGCGGGGCATGGGCAGGAGCCCAGGTGAAGATTAGGTGAGGGGTGAGGCAGCAACATGCATCAGGGATTGAGTGGAGAAAGAGGCAGCAGGATGTGTCAGGGAGTGGACAGGGGATTAGGAGGCAGAGTTGGGTCTGTGGGCAGTTGTGGACAAATTTAAAATAAGCCTCCAATAGTGAGGTTCTATAAATGAAAAATGTTAACAAATTTATAATATTCCATTTATAGAATCAAATTATTGAGAGGGCCTTAAATTCAAAGTTGTCTTGCATTTGGGTAAATACAGTATTTTGAAAAGCAAGTTTTGATAAAGTAACATTCTCATTTGAAACAATTTCTTTTTTATATAGAGATATGATAGTTGGAGACAGCTATAAGCTTGAATTAGGAAATTGGTTCATTTATGGTGAAGTGGACTTGTCCTTCCTCCCCTCTAGTGTCAAATACTGTCATAAAAGTGGGTCTTTGAGAGAACTGCACTGCATCTCCCACTGCGTATTCAAAACCCCCTAATTAAAGTTTTGGACATATATTCTGTATATTGGTGCATTCATTCTTGCTATGTTTGACGTATTTCACAAAGGCCAAGTAGATCTTCTTTGACTAGTTTTTTTATGTACATAGAATAGTGTCTTTGTTTGTAACATTGCTAGTCTAGACCTGTCTAAATCTCTTAATCTCTTTGGGCCATGTTCTAAAAGAATTTTTCCATGTCCCATCTCTCCTGTTCAAGATAATCCAGAACACTTATTTTCGTTGAGCAATTATATGCACCTGTGGTAACCGCAGTAATTGTTTGCTTGGGAAAATATTAGGAAAAGATTAGTAACTTAGTAGCTGTAACTTAGTTCTCTTTAATATGGTTTAACAGCTGGAACTGAGGAGGAAAGTTAGTACACTATGGGTGCATCTGTACGTGCCTAAGGCTACTGCGCAGTAGCGTGTCACATCAAAAACACTGCTAATATGCTACTGTATAATAGTTTTAGGCTACTGTGCAGTAGTGTCACTAAAAAATTTTGTGTGTGCCAGCACTTTTGCACAGTAGCACTTGTTACTGCTCATTGATTTAGTATTTGATTATACAAGTACTAAACTTAATGTGCAGTAACTATGGTGCATTAATGAACATGTAGACATGTCTTATGAGTAGCCAGCTCTTCATGGACTGCAAGAAAATGGTCTGATAGTCCTCAAACCTCTAGTCTAGTTTATAAAAATTGAAATGTGATACAGCAAATCAGGGATGCTCAGCTATTTTAACAGTGTTTACTATATCTTAATTTGTTAGTTGCTTTACAGCCCACTTCTTTCAGCTTCTTACTAGTAACATTGTTTGTGACTCCAGTCAAAGCAACTGCTAATGCAATAAAGTTGGACTTGATTTAGGTATTTTCTGTGTCTTTGAAACAGTTAGTACTTAGTACTTACGAGGAAAAAAAATGCTTTCTCCTTTTGATCTTATTCACAAAATCCCAAATATGTTTCTAGCATAGTTTTTATGAAGCCTGGTTTCTTTTCCACCTGAATATAATTCCCTAGATGTTCCTTTAGGAAAAGAAAGGACAGAGCTGTCTGGCATTTTGGATCCTCTTCCCATAGCACAGTAACCTTTTCTGGGGGCAGCTAGTCTTATTCCATGTTGTTACCAGCTATTGTTATTCAGTTGGTCTAATAAAAGATATCACATTTACCCAAATAACCTTATTTGCCTTTGTTACCAGTGGTTTTTCAAAGGGCCCAGGTAGCACCAGTACAAGGTGCTGGTATAAGGAAGTGCCTGAACTCTGCGGACAATCAAAAAGGTGTTGGTAGTTTGAGACTAGGGTGACCACCATTTCAAAATGGAAAGGCGGGTCACTCGCTTGCCTCTTCTCCCCACTGCCTCCACCAGGGGCACAGCCAGAGTGGAGCTGAGTGGAGGCAAATGTGGGCTACCTGCTCAGGGCTCCCCACCGTACTGCCTTTCCCCTAGGAGCCCCTTGCCAGCTGCATGCCCCATCCACCCAGCAGCAGTGGGGGTCACAACTCCATGCTGCCACCACCCATGCTGCTGCTGGGCGGGCAAGGGGCACCTCACCATGGCGGTGCAGCCAGTGCAGGGCTCCTAGGGGTGGGCAGCAGGGCAGGGAGCCCCAAAGGCTGCAGCAGGCAGCCTGCATCTGTCCCTGCCCTGCATACAAATCTGGTGGGCATGTGCTCCCAACCATTCCCTGCTGGTAGTGCATGTGGCAGTGGGGAGGCCCCACTACCCCGCAAGTTGCCTCTGGCTTTGGACCGCTCCCCACCTTAGGCCCCAAGCACCTTCAGCCCTTGCCACACTCCCTCCCTCACTGTGGGGGCCTCAATCTGCTCCCTCCCCCACAGATTTACCCACAGGGAGCTGCCCTCCATGCTGACTGGCTATTTCTGGCCACGTGCCTGTGTGCAGGCATGCACATACACATGGCACATGTCCTGCTGCCCCCAGCAGCCTGCAAGCAAAAACCTGCCCCTTCCCAAACCTACATCTCTGCAGGATACTGCAAATCCCAGACAAATGCTGTCCTGGAGTCACGCAGCCAGGGATGGGGACTTGATGTTCCCATTCCAGGACTGTCCTGCTGCCCAATGACGGACCGTGGCCACCTGACTTGAAAAGTGCTGTAGGATGGGACACAGCGAAGTACAGAACACGCTTGCCGAGTTCCTTCTCGTTTTCTTTTCCTTCCTTCCATACAGCACCCTGTGGGTACCAGGCGGTTCACTCCACTGCATTTCATATGCTTTAATGTTGTTAATAATGCACTTGGCTAAATAACACTTTTGCTGGGTTTCCCCCCACTAACTCCAGGCCTCCTCAGCGCCACATGACAAATCCCAGGAGCAAGTGGATCGTTAAGGGCTCGTCGGGACACGCGAGGTGCGGAAAAGGCATGAGGGCACGCAAGGTCACCC